CAAAATGAAAATCTTCAACGAGATGTGTCATTTTTTCCAGCAATACTCAAGTTCTACCATATGACAAATTGATATCTATCAAGTGAGGCATAAAATTGATCTCCCACCTGTCCTCTCACGGGGATATTAAAGATTCCATTCAGCCCTATTTGGCAAAGAACCTTCTCCTTATGTCAATATTTCTTTCTCCACTAACACCAGTCAAGCAATCACCAAGTTTTATTATTCAGTCAACATCGGAATCAATGACATGATGGCTGAATCCAAGCAACTGGAAATAGGCAACGTCAAAATGGACCAAGCCTTCTGAGGTGAGTCTAACGATCATCATAAGGGGCCAGGTTTCAGATTGCTGGCCAGGATTTCCTCTGGACTCATAGAAATATAGAATCGTACAGTACAGAAGTGGCCCTTTGGCCATTGATCTATACTGTCAAAAATACACAACCACTTACACTGATCTCATATGAGGCCCATAGCTTTGAAGATTATGATATTTCAAGTGCTCATGCAGGTACTTTTTAATGGTTATGAGGTTTCCCTCCTTAACTACCCTTCCATGCAGCATATTCCAGAATCCCACCCCAAGTTGGGTGAAAACATTTTTCCTAAAATCCCCACTAAACCTCCTGCCTTTGACTTTAAAATTATGCTTTCTTGCTATTGACCCTTTGACTAAGGGGAACAGCTGCTCTCTATTCAGCTTGCCCATGACCTTCATAATCTTATACACCTCTATCACGTCCCCCTCAACCTTCCCTGCTCCAAAAAAATAACTCAAGCTTATCCAGCCTCTCTTCGTTCAACATCCTGGTGAATCTCCTCTGCACTCTGTCCAGTACAATCATATTCTTCCCATTGTGTGGAGACCAGAACTGCACAAAGTACTCCAGCTGTGGCCTCACCAAAGTCCTGCACAGCTCCAGCATTATTTTTATTCATTCACAAAATGAGGCCATCCCTGGTCAGGCCAGCATTTATTGCCCATCCCTAATTGCCAAGAGGGCGGCTTAAGAATCAACCACATTGCTGTGAGTCTGGAGTCACATGTAGGCCAGACCAAGTAAGGATGGCAGTTTCCTTCCCTAAAGGACATTAGTGAACCAGATGGGTTTTTCCCAGCAATCGACAGTGAATTCATGATCATCATTGGACTCTTAAATTCCAGATTTTCATTGAATTTAAATCTGCCATCTGCCCTGGCAGGATTCAAACCCAGGTCCCCAGAACATTACCCGGGGGTCTATGGAGTAACAGTCCAGCGATAATCATCACCTCCCCTGCTCTTAATATCAATGTCACGACAGATAAAGACATGTTTCCATATGGCTTCTTAACCACCCTAGTTAGGGCAGGCTGGCTCATCAAATTTAAAAATAATAAACACTAAAAACTCACCAACCCAAACCCTTAAGTGTGGAAAATGTTGCTGTCTGTGGGAGCTTGCTGTGCACAAAATGGCTGCTGTGTGTTTCCTACATTACAGGAAAGTGACTGCACCTCATAAAGGATTCCATTGGCTGAGAAGTATTTTTGGAACATCCTGAGGTCGAGAGAAGGAATTGAACATGTTTTCTTTATAAAATCTAACCTCAAAAGAATTGCCATGGGAGCCTTGGCAGATGTGGAACATAGCAACATAAACTGGGAAGATCTGAAGATATATCTGGAATTTGATGTATGGCACCAATGGAAGAGTCGGTGGTGAAGTGGTAATATCATTTGACCTCGTAAGACACTGGAGACGTGGATTCAAACCCCACGGCAGTCACTGTTAGAACATAAATTCAATTAATAAAGTGACCATAAAACTAACATTCACTCTTACCTATCTGGTCTGCTATTGCTCTTTAGGGAATAAAATCTACTGTTTGAACGTACACTGACTTGCATGTGACTCCAGACCCACATGAATTGACTCAAGGCATTCAGATCAAAGGGCAGTTAGGAAAGGAAATAAATGGCTGGCCAAGCCAATGACATCTGCATCCCATGAATGTATAAAAAAATTAATAAGGTCACCATGAAACTCATTCATTATAACACGCCTCTTCCAGCAGTGATCTTTAGGGAAGAAAATCTACTGTTTGTACCTAGTCTGACTTGCATGTGATGCCAGACACACAGCAATGTGGAGTGGCCTTGTGTGCCACTCTGCTCAAAGACACTTAGGGATGGTCAATAAATACTGGCCACAATCATGGGAACAAACATAATTGGCCCTACTAGCCATTTTTGTGTCTGTCCTCCAAAAACCAGGATTTAGATCTTAGTGTAGTAGGCAATGGCTGCTTAGTTGACACTAGAAACTAGGCTCAGACTAGTAGTCCAGATGAGTCTAAATCTCCCCCTCACCATCCCAGGATAGCAGTTTGAAATTTTGAAATCAGTTTTTAAAAAAATGGAAGGAAATCCAACTTTTATACTATGCTATAACAGGTTACACCTGAAGATATGATATGCCAATGAGAGACAGTATGCATCATCACAGGAAATGATGTAATGTCACATGACCTTGCTTTTTTTGCAGACTTATGTCAAGATGAAGTCACAGTTAATATGTTCCTAAAATAAATAGTTAGTGTTATTCTTACAACTATAAATATTCTTTCAGCAGAACACCAGGCCAAGGGTATTATCACAGAATCACAGAATTACTATGGCTTGGTGGGAGACTATTTGGCCCATCGTACTTGCACTGGTTCTTTTACTGAGTGTCAATCTCCTGCCTTTCCCCCATACCCCTGAACACCAATTCCATCCAAATTACCATTCAGTGTCCCTCTTCAATGTCTCAATTGAACCTGCCCCTACCACATTTCCAGGCAGTACATTCTAGACCCTAACTACTCGCTGTGCGAAAAAGTTTTATCTCACATCACCCTTGCTTTTTTTGCATTAAATCCCTGTCCTCTTGTTCTTTTCTCTTTTGCAAGCAGGAACACTTTCTCCCTATCCACTCTATCCAGCCTGCTCATGATTTTGAAAACCATCATCAAATCTCCTCTCAGTCTTCCTCTCTCCAAGGTGCACACTCTCAACTTCTTCAATCTATCCTCATCACTGAAGTTTCTCATCCCGGAACCATTCTTGTAAATTGCTTCTGCACAATCTCCAATGCGATTATACACATGCTCTTTGGCCTATTTATGTCTCCAGTTCTAGATCATCTTGAGTGACAATTATAGCTTTGAACAGCATGGTAATAGGCTATCCACCATCTGGTCTTGGTATTCTTCACGAGTCCAGCTTCAACAAACCTTCCTTTGTCTCCCATGTACTTGGATGGCTTGGCAAGGCATTCAGTCAGGATTAGGCAAGTAAGGAATGGTCCATAAATACCATTGAAACAAGTGGAGACCTAATCATTATATTTAAACAAATGAAAAACCCCAATAAAGCCTTGCTACCGCAGCCTATATCCCTTGAATGAAGTGATCTAAAATTGTAAAAGATTTAGTCAATTGCATAAAGAGAGGGGGAGAGAGAGAGTGACAGACAGTCAGACAGATAGAGTTTCCTCTTGCGGGGAACGGCAAAATAAGATGGTCACTGAAAAGTGCAGAGGCTGGCCTTGAACATAAGTTGTAGAAGACTACGCAAGTTCAGCAGGTAATAGGGAGGGCAAATGGAATTTTGGCATTTATTGCTGAAGAAATAGAGTATAAAAATAGGGAAGTGTTGCTGCAAATACATAAGGCATTAGTAAGACCACAGCTGTTGTGTTGCGTACAATTTTGATCTACTTACCTGGGGAGGGATGTAGTTGCATTGGAGGCAGTTCAGATGAGTGGTGAAAGGGTTTGCCTTATGAAGAGAGATTGAGCAACTTAGGCCTACACCCTTTGGAATTCAGAAGAATGAGAGGAGATCTAATTGAAGTAACTAAGATGCTAAAGGGGATTGCCAAAGTGGACACAGAAAGGATGTTTCCTCATGTGGGACAGTCTAGAATGAGAGGTCATAGTTTTAGGATAAGGGCTGGAAGATTTAAAGGGATGAGGAGAAATTACATAGAGTCATAGAGATATATAGCACAGAAACAGGCCCTTCAGTCCAATTCATCCATGCCGACCAGATATCCTAAATTAATCTCGTCCCAATTGCCACCATTTGGACCATATCTCTCTAAACCCTTCCTATTCATGTACCCATCCAGATACTTTTTAAATGTTGTAATTGTACCAGCCTCCACCACTTCCTCTGGCAGCTCAGTCCATACACACACCACCCTCTGCGTGAAAAAGTTGTCGCTTAGGTCCCTTTTAATTCTTTCCACTCTCACCTTAAACCAAAGCCCTCTAGTTTTGAACCCCAGGGGAAAGACCTTGTCTATTCACCCTATCCATGCCCCTCATGATGTTATAAACCTCTACAAGGTCACCCCTCAGCCTCCTATGCTCCAGAGAAAATGGCCTATTCAGCCTCTGCCTACAGCCCAAACCCTCTCAAAAGGGTTCAGAATCTGTGGAATTCACTGCCACAGGCTATGGTGGATGCTAGGATGCTGAATAAGATTAAGGAGGAGACAGATTTTTAATTAGTAATGGGTTAAAGGGTGGGAAGCGGGCAGGAAAGTAGATTTGAGGCCGAGATGAGATCAGCCATAATCATAATGAATGGTGGAGCCAGCTTGAGGGGCTGAAGGGCCAACTCCTGCTCCTAGTTCTCATGAGAAATCCAATGGGGAATTCTGAGTAAATGTCTTCAGCCACAGAGTGGTGGGACTGTGGGACTCACTACCATAGGGAGCAATTGAAGCAAATTAAGAAGAATCTAGAAAAGCATATGAGGGAGAAGGTAAAAGAGGGTTACACTGATAGATTTGGAGAAGGATAGATAAACAGATGGATTTGTAAACTGGTTGGGCCGAGTGGCCTGTTTCCTAGGCTGCATATCCAATGTAATAATTCCAGAACCAGTCCCATCCAATGGGTTCCAACCTAAAGAATGGCTATAGCCATAACTTAGAGAGTCCCGCAGCATTTCAGCTTGTTTACCTGCCGTCCAACCTCACTGTTGTGCAGGTTCATCAGCTTGTTCGCTTGTGATCTGGATTTCTTCATCTTCATCGGCGAATCGGAGAACTTGGATCCCAGCACAATTCCGTAGTTCAGGTTGTCATTGCAGCCGCCCCATCGGAATCCTGGCCCGGGAGCCTCGGAAGCTAGGGGTCCGCAGGAACAGCCTGGGAGATCTCCTGTGGTGCAGGCCCTGGCTATGGTGTGGCTGATAGCAGCAGCGGAGAGAGCGTAGACAAATGCTGACTCTCGGGTACCTGCAATGAGAAGCGAGAATCAATGAACCCGCATATGGTACAGCATCAAACCCACTGCCCACAAGAGAGGGGTAGGGAGCTGATACTGTGAGGGGATTACCCTCAGGGCATTCCACACCATCAACAACAACGAGGTGCATTTACAAAGCACTCTTTGCAACAATAAAAGATCGCAAGGGAGCATTATCAGAGACTATTTGATGCTGAGCCACATAAGGGGATGTAGGGAGATGGTGATGATTGGCATAGTTCAAGCAGCAATCATTTGGGTTGAATGAACAGATGAGAACGTGTGGCTGATTAATTGGAAGGGATAACGTTGAGGTTCTTCACCCTGTATGGAGGGGAGAGCGGGAGGATCCGTGGAGAGTCTTGGAGGGAGCCATAGTCTTTGACCAGCTGCCCCTTATCCATAGCTACATCCATAAACGGGTGTCCTTGGAGAGGGAGCACGCTGTGTCTGCCAACCCCTGAAGCACTTAGAGAGAACGAGGTGGGCACCGCAGGGGCTGGAGTGTATCATCTCCTCCTCCAACACCATTTTGATTTAACCCCTCCCTCTTTTCTTACCCTTCCTTCTTCTATTTATTATAGTTGCACTGCCTCCGGTGGACCGTGCTTGTAATTTGTTACTCATTAATGGGGCAATAGGATAACTCAGTGGTGAGGTTTTGAAGAAAACAAGGCCGTGGGTCTTTGGAACTCTCTCCCCCAGAAAGAAGGCAGAATCATTGAATATTCTTAAAGCACAGATTGATAGACTCTTGACTAACAGGAGAGTGAATAGTCATCAGGGCGTAGGCAACACAAACAGATCAGCCAGGATTTTACGGAATGGTACAGCAGGCTAGACGTGGCTGAATGGCCTACCCCGCTCCTGCAATAATGGATGAGTAGACGGACAGATGGATGAACAGATGTGGGTATGTGGAGAGGAGAGTGATTGATGGTTGGGATTATCGACAGGGGGAGATGGAGAATGTTTGAAGTAAACTGTGCATGTTACTTCAAATCAAGACTGGGAAAGTGCATCAAAAAACTGTACTTAAATTAGTAAAATAAACAGTTTTGTTACTCATAAATCTTCACTCAAAAAGATATTTTGCTGATGGTAAGTGCCCAGAACATGATGCCAGGAGGGGTGGTAAAAGCAGATATGATCGCATTGTTTAAGGGGCATTTAGACAGAGACAAGAACAGGGATGGAATAGGAATAGATGGAACAAGTGTAAGCAGATGGGCTAGTTTAGCACCATGGTCGGCACAGACATGGTGGGCCAAAGAACCTGTTCCTGTGCTGCACTGTTCTACAACACTTTAAATCAGATAAGGTACAATGCCTGGGCAGTCACCTTTTCCCTGCAGAGGACACGTCTCTCTGTGGGAATATCTGTGATGTCGAGCCAGTATAATCGAGCTGTGTTGTGAGACTGACTGACGACCTTAAATTGTTGTAAACTACACAAAGCAATCATCACCTTTTTTGACATCAATATTCAAGATCTATACTACGAACAGAATGATGATTTACCTCTCTCCAGGTCTGGTGGGAAGTAGGGAGCCAGCTCGATTGAAGAGCAGTTCCACCTCATGTCAGAGAAGGTTTTCTGGCAGGTTTTCTTGACCTCTCGAGCTGCTTGGATGATGCTCTGCATGAGGTCCAGATTACTCCTGCACAGTTGTTGCTGAGCTGAGACCAGACCTTCTAGGTGCTTGCAGTTCTGGGTCTGGTTGAAGGCCATTGCTGGGTCAGTCCTGGCCAGAGCACTGTACAGAGGGCAAGTAAAAAGGGTCAGCTGTTTCCAAACCTAGTCTCGTGAAAGACATAGTTGTACAGGTCTAATAGAGTGTATACTGGGTCATTAGTTTAATATAACCACTAATATATCAAATACAGAATTAACTTCTTTCTCCAAAGAACGGTGAGAATATGAAATCACTACCAAAAGGAATAGTAAGAAAATAAGAAATATGAACAAGAGTAGGCCATCCCACCCCGTCAAGCTATATTTCTATAAGATCATTGCTGACCTACCCCAGACTCTTCTTCCATGCCAGCTCCTCAGAGCCCTCAACTCATCAATATTTCAAAAATCTATCAATTTCCTCTTTAAATACTTTCAGTGATCGAGTCTGCACAATTCTCTGGAGTTCGAGAGTTCCAGATATTCACAATCTCCGGGAGAAGGAATTTCTTCTCATTTCAGTTTTAATTAAGTGTTTCCTTATTCTATAAACGTGTCCCTAGTTGAAAGATCCTCCCCCCACCCCGGGTGGAAACATCTCCTCAACATCTACTATGTCGAAGCCCCCTTGGGAATGTGCATGTTTCAAGACGATCACTCCTCATTCTTCAAAACTTAAATGAATAACAGGCGAAACTCCTCCGCTTTTCTTGATAAGTCATCTCCTTCATCCCAGGAATACGCCTGGTCAATTTCTTCTGAATAGCGTCCAGCGCTAGTGAGATAACAAGGTGTAGAGCTGGATGAACACAGCAGGCCAAGCAGCATCAGAGGAGCAGGAAAGCTGACGTTTCAGGGAACCAAAACTATGCATGCACTCCAGGTGTTGCCTGACCAAATAAAAACCGAAAGAACTGCGGATGCTATAAATCAGGAACAGAAACAGAAGTTGCTGGAAAAACTCAGCAGGTCTGGCAGCATCTGTGAAAAAAAATCAGAGTTAACGTTTCGGGTCCAGTGACTCTTCCTCAGTTCTTAATCCTTAGCCCTGAAGAAGGGTCACCGGACCCGAAATGTTGAATCTGTTTTGTCCTTCACAGATGCTGCCAGATCTGCTGAGCTTTTCCAGCAACTTTGTTTTTGTTGCCTGACCAAAACCCTGCTCCTACCAAGGCAACTGGTGGAGCCTACTTTTAATTAATAAATGAATCTGGGATTAATAGGAACAGGGGTAAGCCCTTCATCCCCTTGAGCCTGCTTTACATTCAATGAGATCACGGCTGATCTGTGGCCTAACTCCATAAACAATCCTTTGGCCCATATGCCTTAATAGCATTGCTTAATAAAAATGTATCCATCTCAGATTTAAAACTAACAACTGATCCAGCATCCACCACCATTTGTGGAAGAGAGTTCCAAACATCTAGCATCCATTGTGTGTCGAAGTGCTTCCTAACATCTCTCCTGAACAATTCTGGTCCTAATTCTGTGCCCACTAGTTCTAGAATTCCCAACCAGTGGAAATAATTAATCTTTACCTACCTTGTCTTCTACTGTTAATATTTTGAAGACTTCAATCAGATCACTCCTCAATCTTCTAAATTCTAGAGGAAACAGACCTAAATTGCATAACTCTCTTCATAACATAACTCCTGAAGTCCAGGTATTATTCTCCCTCCAAGGCCAGTGTATCCTTCCTCAGGTGTGGTGCCCAGATCTGCTGTCAGCACTCCAAGTGGACTCTAACTAGGGTTTTGTATAGCTGCAGTATAATCTGTGCATCCTTTCACCCAGTCCTCTAGGTATAAAGGCCAGCATTCCACCAGTTTTCTGGATTATTTTCTGCACCTGTTCATGATATTTTAAAGATCTATGCACCTGAACATCCAAGTCTCGTTTGGACATCCACTGTATTTAACTTAATACCATCTAGAAAGTCCCCAGTCCATCCTTTTCTGGTCCAAAATGGATAACCACAAATTTGCTTACATTGGACTGCATCTGCTGAAGTTTATCCTATTCACCTGGTCTATCAACGTCCCTTTATAATTTTATGCTATCCATTCACACTGTCAACAATGCTGCCTAACTTTGTGTCATCAGCAAATTTCGATATATGACTCTCTCTGCCATTATCCAAGTTGTTAATGTATAATGTGAATAACTGAGACACTAACGTGCATCCTGATGGGACACCATTGGTCACACCCTGCCAATTGGAGTACCTAGCCCTACTCTCTTCAATAAAACAAAGAACTGCAGGGAGCTGGAAATCTGTTGCCTGCCACTGAAGCAATTTCCCAGCCGTATTAACAAACTTCCCTCAGTACCTTTGGCCTCTACCTTAGTTAACAGGCTGTTATGTGGGACTGCATCAAATGCCTTCTCGAAGTATATAAACAACATCCAGAGACATTCTGCCGTCCAATACCTCAGTCACATCTTCAAAAAAAATGTAATGAGGTTTATCAGACATGACCTACCATCATGAATCTACGCTGATTCTCCCTGGCTAACTGAAAATTTTCAAGGTCTTCAGGTACCCCATCCTTGACTATAGACTCCAACCATTTCCCCACCACAGATGTTAGCCTACCCGGTCTGGAATTCCCTGGTTTTTTCTCTTTTTCCTTTCCTAAAAAGCAGAGTGACAGTGTGCAATTTTCCAATCCAGAGGGATTGCTCCTGTATCGAGGGGACTCTGAAAGATTATACTTAGGGCAGCTACAATGGGCTCCTCTAATTCCTTTAACACTGTTGGATAGAAACCTTTTGGTCCTGGCAAACTGTCATAGTTTCAACATTACTGATAGAATCATACATAGATTCATACAGTCATACAGCATGGAAACAGACCTTTCGGTCCAATCAGTTCATGCCAAACATAATTCCAAACTGAACTAGTCCCACCTACCTGCTCCTAGCTCATATCCCTCCAAACCTTTCCTATTCATGTACTTATACAAATGTCTTTTAAATGTTGTAATTATACCCGCATCTACAATTTCTTCTGGAAGTTCTTTCCATACGTGAACCATTTTATATTAATTTTATTCAGTCCCTGTTCCCCATCCACTACTAATTTATTCAGGACTTCCAGTAAATTTCCTCCTTTTCTACCATAAATACTGAGGCAAGCTAATTATTCAGCATGTTTACTGCTTCCCCATAGTCATTGACAATAGAATAGTAGGTTGGCACAACATTGTGGGCCAAAGGGCCTGGACTGTACTGTTCTATCATAGAATCCCTACAGTGTGGAAACAGGCCCTTCAGCCCAACAAGTCCACACTGACCCTTGGAGCATCCTGCCTAGACCCAGCCCCCTAATCTACCCCTCCCTGAACACTATGGGCACTTTAGCATGGCCAATCCACCTAACCTGCACATCTTTGGACTGTGGGAGGAAACTGGAGCACCCAAAGGAAACCCACACAGACACAGGGAGAATGTGCAAACTCCACACAGACAGTCACCTGAGGGTGGAATTGAACCTGGGTCCCTGGTGCTGTGAGGCAACAGTGCTAACTACTAAGCCACTGTGCCGCCCCATGTTCTATAGCCCATGTTCTACATTCTATGTTCTATATCCCCACATTCAGTCTTTAGTGAGCCAACATTGCTCCTGGCCCCCCTGCTTTTCCTTCATGTAACTATAAAATTTCTTCTTATTGATTTTGATATCCTTTTCAAGTTTCCTTTCATAATCCCCTATACTAGTTCTTATAAGCTGTTTTGCGGTCATAAGACCATAAGATATAGGAGCAGAATTAGGTCATTCGGCCCATCAAATCTGGTCCGCCATTCAATCGTGGCTGATATGTTTCTCAATACCATTCTCCTGCCTTCTCCCAAAATCCATAGTGTGGAAATTGTTGGAGTCTATAATTAAGGATGGGGTAACCGAAGACCTTGAAGATTTTCAGTTAACCAGGGAGAACCAGCATGGATTCATGATGGGTAGGTCATGCCTGACAAACCTCGTTAAATTTTTTGAAGAGATGACTGAAATGGTGGACAGGGGAATGTCTATGGACGCTATTTATACAGATTTACGGAAGTGGCCCTCTGCTGGTCTTTGTATCTTTCCCATTCAGCGGCTCCGTCCTGGGTTTTTTTGGATGTTTGAAAGCTCTTTCTTCTGGTTTTATGCTGTCCCTTTTCTCTTGGCTGTTTTTTTTTCTGTCAAGTGGAGATTTTACTCTGTCTGGGGTATAAACTGGTTTTGTATTGTGTTAAATGTTTCTTTAAACATCCTCCACTGTTCTTCAGTTGTTTTACCCATTAGAAGATTTGCCCAGTTTACTATGGACAGTCTCTGTCTCATCTTCTTAAAGTCAGCCTTACCTTAATGTAAAACTCTGGTAACTGATCCATGCGTTTTGTTTTCAAATGCTACATTGGATTCGATCATGTTATGATCGCTATTTGTTAAATGTTCACACACTATTGGGTTACTAATTGAAGTACTCATTCCTAAATCTAAAATTGTTTGTCTCCTTGTCGCATTCAGGACATATTGTTGTAGGAAACTATCTCAGAAACACTCCAGAAATTCACTAGTTATCTGACAGATACGTGTCTGCCTCTCCCAATCCATGTTAAAGTTAAAATCTGTGAATGCCAGAAATTTGAGACAGAAACAGAAAGTTCCGGAAATACTCATCAGGTTTGGCAGCTTCTTGATTAGTAATGGGATCAAGGGTTACGGGGAGAAGGCAGGAGAGTGGGGTTGAGAAACATATTAGCAAAGATTGAACATTGGAGCAGACTCGACGGGCCGAATGACCCAATTCTGTTCCAACATCTTATACTCTTATCTGTGGAGAGAAGCAGTTGAACATTTCAAGTCCAATATGACTTCTTCAGAATTCCATGCCTTGGCCAAAAATCCACCCTCAAGCAATAGAACAGTGGCCTTTGATTCATTTCACAAATCATAGAATGCTGACAGTGTGGAAGCAGGCCATTCAGCCCATCACATCCACACCGAGCATCCCACCCAGCCTCAGCCCCCTACCCTATCCCTGTGACCCTGCATTTCCCATGGCTAACCCACCTAGCCTGCATATTCCTGGATTT